GCTTTGCTGAGACCCGGGCCTCGTGGGCAAAATCACGTGCACCTGCGTCTCCCTCGGCTTCCCAACCGTTCCCAGATCCGAATTCCTTGGAGAGGCAGGGCCGTGAAGGTGAGACGAGAGGTCGCGGCAGCCCCCGGCCCCGCCCCTTTTCCGAGGGGGCACGCCTTTCTCAGACGCTCCCCCTCCCGGGAGAGATGAGCCTCTGCAGACCCGCCCCACGACGCCTTCTGCGTGCCCAGCGGGGGCGCTTCCACCTGGCCGCTGCCTCTGGCCAGTAGCCAACGTCCTGCTTCTGAGCGGGAGACACCGGGAAGTCCGTGGGTGGGGCCCCTGCCTTGTCACCTGTCTGACCTCATTTCCTCTCAGGGTCGTGGCATCTAGGTCCCTGCCCTTCCCTCCTTCCCTCCTCAGTCCTGCCCGGGCCCGCCGGGATCGGGCTTCGCGGGGCGGGAGGCCTGGTCCCGTGCGCGCCTGGGTGGACCCGCCTCTGGGGAGCTGCCCTTTGCGGTCCCTTTATGGCGGCCTGTCTCGGACTTTCCTGTAGACAGGGCACTGCGCTGACCTTTTCTGCTCAGAGAGGACGGGGACAACAGGGACTCCTCACCTGAGAGCGGGGACCTGCCCCAAATCACCAACTCAGGGAGCACTGAGACACCCTCCGCTCCCGGTGAGTCCCGCCCTATACCTCATAATCCGAGGGCCGGGAGGTGAGGAGGTAGGCTCCTGAGCTCCGCGCTCACTCGACCTGGCTGCTGCATCCCCGGCTGGGCCCCCAGCCTCTCCCTCCGCCATGACCACCCCGGCCCTTCTCCGCCGGCCTCGGAGCCCCTGGAGCCCCTGGAGCCCCGTAATGGGCCTGCCGTTTCTGCCCGACTGCCAGCCCTCCTCCCGAGAGACTGGGAGAAATCATAACCCCGCTGGCCAGAAGCCCCTGTGCCTCAGCAGGTGCTGAGCTGGGACCTGGGGGGTGGGGCGGGGGTGGGGGCTGGGTCTCTAGAGGAGCCTGGGCCAAAGGACGGTAGCTGGCTGGGGGCTGGAGCTTCTCCTCGAGACCCTATCTCTGCTCCCACCCTTCTCCCTCATCTGCTCTGTGGCTCAGCCTCAGAGCTCCTGAAGCGTTGTGGCCCCCAGGTGTCTCTGCTGGACTCTCAGCTCCCCCCCTGAGATGCAAGATCGTTTCTGAGTATTGGGGGGCGTCAGATCCTCTGAGGGGCTCTCACAACTGACCTGCGGCAGTGTGTGCTCCTTCTGAGCAGACAGACCCCAGGGGCACACCGATGTTGAGCGGTCCTGTGGATGGGGGGTGGGGCTGACCCAGGAGTCCCCATCTCATTCAGACTTCTCCTATACCTGCCCCATGGACTCCCCAAGACCTTCCAGCTGCCTACCTGGCACCTTTAGACCCAGGAGAGGGGCAAAGGGTGGGAGGGCCTCTGTTGGCCTCCTTTGAGCTGAGGGGCAGATCTTCCTTTGAGTGACCCTCCCTTGGAGCACCCCCCTCATCCCAGCCCAGGTAACTCTTGAGGACAGAGCCCTGAATAGACCATCAGGACACAGAAGAAACAGGATTGGGCTCCTCACCTGTCACCACCAGCTCCAGGGGTCACTGGGCTCTGACCAGACAGTGCGACTGCGACACTAACAGAGATACCGTCCTGCTAAATCATCTGTCATGTATCTGATGGAGAACTTGGCCTTGTCCCCGGGCTCCCGTGCAGGATGTTTGTCCCAGGTCCCTGAGTTTCCCTCTTTACGCAGGCAGAACTCATGGGCCTCCAGGCTCCCCCGACACCAGATGGTCACAGATGTCCTCCAGGGGATCACAGAGCCTGGTTCAGCCCAGATGGTGGATTTGGGGAAGGTCCTAGGAAGGAAACGGAGGCTGGGACACA